TTGGTCCAGCTCCTACCACCCATGGTGGTACCTGCGGGGCCCAGGAACCTTGGACCCGAGCTCCAGGATTTGCCCGCTGTGTGATGGTCATTGATGTTGGTGGTGGTGGGCTGGTAGACTCCCCCACTGCTGGACCTCATACTTAAAACTGAAATACAATATCAGTTCAGCATTCTGGAATATTGGGCAACATTTTATAAAAAATTATAAATAAAAAGGATCATATCACAGGTGATTTTTTTAAAATTGCAGGTAAAAAAGAATTGGTTCCCATATATATTTTAAAAAAGATAGGAACTGTCATTGGAAAGTGTGAAATTTTTCCCATTTCTGAGCCTTTTTTGAGTCTTTCACTTATTCACAAATGGCTTTTATCCAATTTTCCTCTTTGATCTACTAACTCAAATATCTATAACTTATCTGTCAATCATTCTGGAAAATCTATTGTGAACCCTTTGTCCTAGAACTGTTGCTTAGTTCTAGAATTATTATTAGGTATTCTTGTTATTGTTAAAATTGTTATTCACTGCATTCGCCACTAGCAGTCTTTCAGATTTTCAACTAATTTTCTAAATAGTTGGCCGAAAACTGGCAAATATCTAGAATGCAATCATTTCAATCCAAAAGTGTTGGTGAGAACTTCTGAAGGGGTAAATTTTGCTGCTGCTGTTGCTATGTTGCCAAAGATCTTGCAATACCTATTCACCCACCACCACTATGCAGAGGGTGGATGCAGCGTCGCCAATATATGGATTTTTAAGCCCAAAGCGTCGCCGGCCATTTTAAAGATGCGTCGCCGGGTAATTTTTAATGAAAAGCCATTTACGCTGAGTAATGACGAACTATTTACAAGCCACGAACTTAGTTACAAGGTTGCATGCACGTGTTACCCCAAATAACTAATTTTACCCTAAAAACAGTCCGATTGTACAGCAAGTGTCAACTGAACATGTAATAAAGCAGTCTGACCGCTCTAATGTGACCAAAACTACGCAATTGAAAAAATGTTGTTTACATTTTTTGCGGGAACTCATTGCAACTGATTTCCGGACAAGCTTCGCTGCATCGTGTTCCATCCAACGCACCGGAAACCTTACTTTTTTTCTAAATAGTTGGCCGAAGACTGAGAAATATATTAAATGCAAGAATTTCAATCTAAATGTGTCGGCAAGATCTTCTGAAGGCGAAAATTTGGCTACTGAAGCGTCGCCAAAGATCTTGCAATATTCATCCCCTCTCTGCACAGTGGACCCACCACAGTGACAAACCACTAACCAGAGAGTTTTTAAAATCAGTTCATTCTTAATTTCCTCGTTTAACCAAGATTTAAACCAATTTTTTATGTATGATAAAGCTGGTATGTTGGTATCCAGGATACTTCACTGGTATACTTATAGGACTCATAAATAAATAAAATAAACTTGAGGCAGAGTCTAAAAAACTCTCTGCTTTGCCACTATGATTAATTTAACACCCACTTTCTGCTCAGTGGAGCCTGTGCAGGTAAAAATTGTTGTTTCACAAGTAATTTTTTAAAACTGCAGTCTGCAGGTAAAACTAGATGATTTTTCTAATTTTATTTTAACGAAAATTGACAAAGGGCCATTGGAATGGGTCAACTTGGGCAGATTCATGGGTATTAACATCCAATTTCCAGTTAGGCCTATAGTATACTATAGTGTATACTGTATAGTCTAGCTTTCAATTTGACCTTTTTTATTGTTCTTACTTAACTTATTACTACATACACATAGAAGTAAGAAAAATAATAATTATTTTTGCCAACAATTCTGAAAAGTTACCTGGATAACAAATTTTTTTATGTAGAATATTTGAAAAATTTCTCTATAATACTATATTCCTGATTCAACAGCCATTTTAGTAAATTAGTGAACCATTAGTAAAAATGTCTTCTTTATAGAATTGATTACAGTTTTTCCATCATATTTCGATAGAGAAAATTCTTGCATTATGAATTATCACTTATCTACCGTAATTGAATAGGTGAGAATCATGAGATAATCAAAATTCGTATCGGTAACGGCAAAGTCTAACAACAATGATTTGCGATTTTAGAGAGTGATTGTAATTATTTGTAAGCATTAAGCAACTATATATAATTCAATAAAAACCTATTATTACAAATAATAATATCAATACAAAAATTTACCTTAAATTGTCTAACAATATTTTAAAGCAAAAAAACTTCTAGCGGAAGAGAACCAAAGTTTCAATTTAAGTTTTCGACAGCTGCGACATCGGAATTCCAGATGACTCAGTCGGGTTTGTTGTTATGGGGATGATAGTATCAATGAACGACGTTAACCTCACGAATTTGTCTAACGAATAAAATATTTTTGCAGTACACTATGCTTGCAATATTTTACGACTCCGTTTTCTTCAGGAAATGTGTAAATGAGAATTTAGTTGTCTAGAAGCGCACTTATGCGCAATGTCATATCTCCTCGCAGACTTTATTTTTTTATGATTTGCGATACCGATAACAGACTGTGCAGTAACAACGTCAGCTGAAGCGGTATGCATTTTATTGTGCGTTCATTTCCCTAGTGATGCAAATCTAGCACAGATTCTCCTGTAAAATTAACTATCGTTGTGACAGTAAGACTAATATTCCTAAATCTCTCATTTTTGTCGTGATTTCGTTTCGAATTATTGTTGGATGATCAAGAAGTGACATATAAGCACTATAGGATTGTATGGTAGCAATTGTAATGAGTGGTTTTTGCGTCGCTTGGGCCAGCTGTACTGTAGCCAATTTTAACCAATGATTAATTCTTACAGCAGGCTGGGGATTTACAACGCGATGCACTGCTGAAACCTCTTTAGCGCATTTTCTCATCTATGGAAAAAATGCACTATTGTGCTCGCCATGTCCGTCTGTCCGTCCGTCCGTAACCTCGAGTTTTCGTCGACGAGAAAATGCGCTCTCTGTCACTCACTGCAGTGAGTACTGAGTTATATTTTTTAACCTTTTAACCACCCGACTACTTCACTAATGAAATGAGGACTAGAATTAGTACAAGCAGCTGAGGCTCAAACCTACAACTCGCTAATCCTGTCATGGTAATCAGAACATCGACAACTCAGACATCGTTCAAGTGCTGCCGTGGAACATGTGACTCATGTTATGTATAATTGTTTATTTCTACAATTCGATTAAACAACAAAGCGAGTTTGAACTTCAATCTATTCATTCATCACTCAGCTACTCAGCTATTAGTGTTTGCAGACAATGCGCAATTATAACCATCAACCCTGATAAGAAATTTCATTTCACCGTTCCGATCCAAAATATTTTCTGGATTTCAATTACAACGCTAAAAGAAATCTATAACATAACTTAACCCTCTACCGCCTGTCACGAGTAACCGGAGCAATATTATCACAAGCCTACTTCCCAAAAACGATAGGTTCTAGTGAGCGCAAAATTACTTGCACTGATGGTTGCCGCCAAGTTCGACAACTTTAAAATGTTCTCTGTTGCGTACTAACGTCTTCAGGTTGTTATACTCAATAGTTTACGTATAATTTAAGTTGAAGGTTATGTTCCCGGAGAGTGACATACGGCGGTAGAGGGATAACATAGTGATGTCGGCGCTAAAGAGTAGGCCTGATGTGGCCTGTCGTCGATTCTTGAACTTTTCGTGACTTGTTCACAGAAGATCTAAAATCGTGTCATTTGACCGGATATTTTCATGACTGACGATAGTTTGAAATAGCTACTAGACTTCCACAGGATTCAATATGGTGCTAGGCATTTCAAATCTGAACATATATTTTTCCATAGCTTTATTTAGTCTGTTCTTGAACGCGTTCATACTTGGAGCGTCAACAATGTCATCGGGGAGGCTGTTCCACATGTCGGTGATTCGAAGCGAGAAGAAATGTTGTCGCCTGGAGAAGTTGCAATGCAGTTTTTTTAGTTTATAGCCGTGGCCCCTGGTGTTGGTTCTTGTTTTAAATTCTAGTAATCCTTCGGGGACCTTGTATAAACCATGAGTATACTTCAATGAGGTCCCCACGCAGACGTCGATAACTGAGGACCTCATATAACGTCGATAACTATAGTATAATCAACAAGTAGCGTTTATGGGATTATAACTTCAACTCATGCTGAGCCTTGGCATTTGTTGTCAAAAACATTGACATATCGCTCCCGACATATGGTGTCGGGAATTGATTGAATGTTGGCATCACTCACGACATATGCCATTTTGCCGGTACATCAAAACCGACAAGCGGCCGGGTGTTTGAGTATCAGTGACAAGTTAAACCTAAACCAACCGAAGCTGCACCCGCGAGAGAGGGCAGACTCAGCCACCAAGTTGTCGGGTAGTTGCTTCCACGCTAACAACTCGAGCTCGATACTAGGACGGGTCATGGCTACTCACTCTTCCTTATGGTACCCACACAGTGAAAGCAGGTTGCCCGCGCGGGCAACCTGCTCCAACCTACCACAAGAATGAACATAGGATAATAATGTAAGTGTTCACAGTGAAAACCTGTTCGAATAGGCTTCTGTATTCTATGGTTTCAGGCGCCAGCCTGAGCAGGTAACCAGCACGCTGGCAACCTGCTTTCACCGTGTGCGTACCCATACATTGGGAAGGATTTATATGCGAGGTGCAATTGTGCCAACACACAGCGTCGTGCAGGCCGATATTCCACAAAGTCTTCAAGTCGCATTATGGATTCTCGCAGACATTAAAAACAAAAACTTACTTTCACTCGCTCTAAATGAAAATGAACGTTTCTATAAATATTTCATCATAATTATCATAATATTTATTGAATCACAACAGACAGTCCCCTTTCCCTTCCAAGTCCCCATCGCACCTCATACGAGGGGGAGGGTGGAAGAGGTCCCAGCCATCACAACCCCCAGTTAGGGAGCCTCAATAACGTTTATTCCCAAGGCATCGGTCAATATTCCGACAGGAAACTTCACACAAATTTATGAAAAGGATTAAAAAAAGATATCCTCACAAAATGTATTGAAAATACTGGCCAATCACAACATGCAACTCATCCGCCAATAACGAGATGGACGTCCTTGCACGAATCCTTAATATTTATAAAAAAAAAATATACCGGCCGTCCATTAGTTGTGCAAGACACCGTACAACTTAAGAACAACTCAAGTTACCACGGATGCAGCACTGACTCACATGTGAGGTTAAGTTCACAGTAACACTAAGGTAACTTAAACACTAAAACAACGCTGTAAAGAAACACAAAACCGGGACCCTAATAATGGATACATATTAGGACCTTGAGCAGCTCTGTTAGCACATATACACATTATTCCTGTCCTTTATATTATTTAATAGTAGTAAATCCTTTCATTTGAATACTACGTCCTGCCATTTAAATATACTAGTTTTCCCTATCACTTAAATACTACTTTTTCCTGTCATTTAAATACTACTTATCCCTATCATTTAAATATACTAGTTATTCCTATCATTTATATACAAAATAATCCTGGCATTGTCTACAAATCATCATAAAAATGGAGTGTACCATATCATGGCAGCAGCGATGATGGTGATGGCAGTGATGGTGATCATTGAACAATGCCTAGATTGGAATGTAGTAAATAAAAATAATGAAAGACAGACCAGCACAGCCATACATGGAGAATATAGAACATGAACAAGTTGGTGCAACATAATAAATAGCTTAGGAACTGAAATATTTGACATTGAATGTAATCTTTGCATTGACTGTGTGTTTATACCGGCTGTTTGTAAAACTTATTTGAATGAGACGTGTTCATGAGTTGCTGATACATACAATGTTTGTATGTGAGGTTTGTATATGCATTGTACGTGTTGTATATTAATACATTGCTTGTATGTGTTGCAGATGTCATCACAAACAATGTTATGAATTTATCAAACTGGGCCAACTGCTTAAATGCCCAATAAACATCATATTACTGGCTTGAAAATATTGCTGTTCAAGTTGTGGTGAGCTATGATGATCACTAAGAAGTTTCTCTATGGCCTGTAAACAGAGATTTTCAAGTTGGGTTGGAGGTTTGGCAAGGCCCAAAGAAGGTTCCGGGGAGCCACTGCGGGTCCTGCGCTGTCGGGTCTCTGACACTCGCCACAACTGAAGCTCGACGCTGCACCCGCAGCACCACACGCAGCTTCCATGGGTACGCCCATCATGAACTCTTGGCAGCTACACACTGTAACATTGTAATGCATTGTAAAAACTTGCAACGTTAAACATCTTACCACTCACAACATTAAAGTTAGCATAAAAATTAAATTTTCTATGAAATAAGAAATAAATTTCTACAAGAAAGAGAAAATTTTAGTTAAGTCACATGAATGCAAGACAATCTAATGCAAAACTGTTGCAAAATTACAATATATATAAAAGCTCAGTCAAGTGCTCAATTTTGTAAATCAGGCCCAAGAAAGGCTTTAAGGATTCCATAAGGGATTTTGGACAAGTTTTACTGGAGAGCAACAATAAATAATATTTCTTTTATTCTGTGTACCTTGTTAACTAGGCAACCAATAATGCAAGTATGTGATTAATAAAAAATATCAATATCCTGGAGATGCAGAAAAACTGTTCTTTGATTAGCATGTCACTAAATATAAGGAATTATGGTTAGTATTTTTGAACATGTTTGATCTTAAATAAAGTTCTGTGTAAATTAAATTCTTCGTTTAAATTGGTAAAGGTATCTTCATCAGATAAACTTGATATGGAATGACCCATATTGGCTTCTAAGGCAGAAAAGAAACAGAAGTTTAGTTGCAAATGCATAGGTAAAATTTCTAAAAAACTTGCAAAAAAATCAGTTAGGTTCTTAACAATTTTAAATAATTGATTAAATGATTATTACATTTTGATTGATATCAAGGTTAAGAGTAACACTGAATTTGTTCATATAAATAGTGAAGACATATAAATTAAGCATAAATTTTGCAAAAAGTTAAATAAAATTCCCAAAATTGGAAGTGGCATATCTTCACCCATATCTTCACCCACGTACCACGATCCCTCCGCTCATCAATCAGGAAATAACAACAAGCAGCAAGAACACTCATCAATAACAACAAGCAGCATAACAATAACAACAACAAGCAGCATAACAATAACAACAACAAGCAGCATAACAATAACAACAACAAGCAGTATAACAACAACAAGCAGCATAACAATAACAACAACAAGCAGCATAACAATAACAACAACAAGCAGCATAACAATAACAACAAGCAGCATAACAATAACAACAACAAGCAGCATAACAATAACAACAACAAGCAGCATAACAATAACAACAACAAGCAGCATAACAATAACAACAACAAGCAGCATAACAATAACAACAACAAGCAGCATAACAATAACAACAACAAGCAGCATAACAACAACAAGCAGCATAACAATGACAACAACAAGCAGCATAACAACAACAAGCAGCATAACAATAACAACAACAAGCAGCATGACAATAACAACAACAAGCAACAAGAACACTCACCAATAACACTCCCTTCCACATCCTTGCCCCACGGCAGAGGTCCAAATGAAGCAAGAGGCTTGGAGGCATCAAGGTCCTGCAGAACTTGTTGGGCGGAGGATGCAGCTGATTCTCCTTCAGGATATGATCCTTCTAATGCCCCTAAATCCATGGCTGAGGCATGGCATGGCTTGGCTTGAGGAGGGCATGGCATGGCTTGAGGAAGTTGTGATGTGGCTTGACAGGTTGAACTAGACTGTGATGATTGACTGTGGTTCTTTTGACGGTGAATTTTTGAATTATTTTTGACCCAATTACCATTTCCATGCACAGGAAATCCTGCTGGTCGGTCCACTTCCAATATTGAGTCTGACTCTGGCCATCCATTACGTTCATCAAACCACGAAGTGTGGGGATGTCTTCTTGCATTTAAACATTCCATCCTGCTGAGTGGCGGACGCTGGAACCTGCCACCATGACCTCGAGCACGACCCCTACCCTCGTTGAAATGGAATCCAAAACAAGGATGACCATGGTAATGCTCAATACCACCTTCATTGTACTTTCTAGAGTAACCATTACCACCATGATTGCGTCCTCGAAAGTTCCCATTACCACCACCTCTGTGACCCCTGATGTTGTAATTTCCATGCTCTTGGTAGTAGTAGCCATTACCATCACCATGGTTCCCTGTGATGATTTCATTCTCATCATAGTTTCCCCTGGAAGTACCACTACCACCACCAGGATTCCCTCTGAGGTTCTCATTACTCCCACGACTGTCAGCTGTTGAGTCCCAGCATTGGACACCTGCCACCTGTGGCTTAGGTCCCAAATACCAAGTGGGGAATGGAAAGGCTGGGTGAGGGTTAGGCAGGGGCATGAGGTAAGGCAGGATGGGTGGTGGTGTGTTGTCTGGTGTGGGTGGTAGTGAGTGGTGAGGGCTGCGAGGTGGTGATTGGTATGGGGTGGATGGTAGCGAGTGGTATGGAGTGGGTGGTAGCGAGTGGTTTATAGAGGGTGGCAGCAAGCGTTTTGAAGTAGGCTCTCGAAGAGAGTTGAAATCATTTGTCACATTGTGCTGGCGTCTCGCAGGGAACTGAGGACCAAAGCCTAGCCCGTCCAGGATCCGCACATCCCCTGATGTGGTTGGGTCTTGACAATTGTAAGCTTTTCTTGTGTTGCAAGAATTGCTGGGTGCCTTATGATCACCATTCCTGCCAGATGCATGGCAATTAAAAGAGTTGCCATTTGTGTAAGGATGCCTGTAGTTGCCAGTTGTCCATGGACCATCATGGTTGCCTGATGCCTTGGAACCATCATGGTTGCCAGATGCCACGGAACCATCATGGTTGCCAGACGCCTTGGAACCATCATGGTTGCCAGACGCCTTGGAACCATCATGGTTGCCAGACGCCTTGGAACCATCATGGTTGCCAGATGCCTTGGAACCATCATGGTTGCCAGATGCCTGGGAACCATCATGGTTGCCAGATGCCTGGGAACCATCATGGTTGCCAGATGTGTGGAGATCGTATGATGTGTCTGACTCTAGTTGGTCAGTGGATCCTTCAGTGGCATCAAAGGAACTATTAGATGCAATGGCATAGCTTGGTATGCTGGGCTTCATGATGGAGACTTGAAACAAAGTCTCAAAGCTTGAGAGATTCATGCTTCAATTGAAAAAGCTATGCAGGCAAAGAAAAAATGAAGCTTTAGAGAAGATAAAAAGCTGTCAACAAAGATTTGCAATCTGAAAAAAAATTTTGGATTATTTAAACAATTACAGATACAATTGTTACATTAGTCACTTCAGAAGTGTAACTGTGGAGCTGTTGCTTACAATTCCTTATAATTATCCAATTTGTTTCAGGATTACTCAACTAATATCAAAATAGATCATATTAAGATAAGGTTACCAGGTATTTGGCCATTTTCAATTTACTGAAAGTCTCCAGGATTATTTACTAATGTCAAATGAATTTTATTACACAATAAAGTGTGGGGAACTCATGCTCTAGTTTTCCCTATAGAGAGAAGGGAAGGATTCAACAAATACAGCCTCAACCTATTGTCAGGTATAGGTACTAACAAAGCTCTTGGCTCTGATTGCTGTGCACTAAATATTGCATACAAACAAGAGCCTCCAATTTGAGTGATTCAAGTTAGTCTGGTTCATACGAGTGCAGTATATACATGAACATGAGGCATGCAAAAGAGTTACAATGGCACTGTGAGTCGTCAGAATATGTCTTATTCTTTTATCTAAGAATTTTGATGACAAAATGAGAATTTTGATGATGGAATTTCTTCCCCTAGAGATGGCATCTTCCAAAATTACTTGGCATAGAGATGTCAAAATTGTAAATATCACACTAATACAGAAAGAGAACATTTACTTGGAGAAGATTTGCATTTTTTTTTTCATTTAACTTGTTGACTCCAAAATGGTACACATGCATACCACAAAATTCATTTCTCCAGGACGTAGTAGTACATAATTCAGCTTGCCTAAAATCGGCCAAATCCGAGACAAAAAAGGCCGATAATTCAATGTATACTAGTTTATTCGTAGGTTCCGCTATGAAAATTCCATTTATTTTCTTCTTGCAGTATTTAAAACTAAGGAAGTACTCCTATCATAAATTTTAGCCGGGCAACACAATTGAGAAAAACTAAATCACGGAATTTGTCCATAAAAAATGACTGTCTGGCAACCCTGTTTAAAAACAGTACAAAAAATGAAATAATAGTACAAGAGTAAGCAATTGGAGCAAAGAATGAACAACAAAAGTGAAAATTTTATTCTATAAATAATTTTTAGAGCCAAAAGCTTTCAGATTAAACAAAAATGTAGCTTTGTAGCCACAAAAAGGAGTCTTCCAAATTGTAAAGTAGAAAGACAAGTAGAAGTTTTCCACATCATTGTAAATAAATACTTATTGATCAAATTTTGAAATAGATACAGCCAATTAAAAAATCTGAGCTTCTACCAAATCTCATGACTCTGAAGCCACACTGTAATGTATGCCTTTTTATGTTAAAAAATATGTGGATAATGAATTTAATAGGTTTAAGTTACAAAAAAATTGATAATAAATTTAAAAGGTTTAGGTTCCAAAAAAAATGGAATAATAAATATGCACTTGTGTTGAATTTCAGATCCAATACTAATCACTTGATGGGCAAATAATCACAATAATCAAATGGCAAAGAAGTAGTAGTTCATATGGGTTATTGCTATTTGGATAATTTGCCTATTCCGATGTATTTGGGTTATATTCCAGGAATTTCAATATAAATCTTTGTAGAAGAACCAGTGAGAGTGAGCTTGCCTGCCTGGTAAGAATCTTCCGACTGTATGCACCATTAATAATAATAAATATTATAAACAAATTCTCAAAGAAAAAATTTCAGAACTGCCATCTTGAGTGTTCAACCCTGCTAAATAAATAAAGCAGCTACCTGCATGTCTGTATAGAGGAGGAACATGCATGTTGTCTGCTGCATGCTTGTTGTCTGCTGCATGCTTGTTGTCTGCCACATGCATGTTGTCTGCCACATGCATGTTGTCTGCTGCATGTTGTCTGCTGCATGCATGTTGTCTGCTGCATGCATGTTGTCTGCTGCATGCACATTGTCTGTGGGAGCAGCCAGGCATGGATTATGTCTTTCTGTCAAGCCGCAACTAAAGCTTTCCTACATTTTAGAAATCACAAGATTCATGCTGGATGAATTATCTCTAATCTCATTGTAACTAAAGTGATCCATTGGGCTGCAAGATTCCAAATGCAAAGTGACAAACAGACAAATTTTTTAGAAACCAGTTCATTTTTAATTCTATGTTCTAGTTCAATATTCAAGTAAGGTAAAGTTGGTATTCATGAAACTTAGCAGTCTACTCATTGAATTCCAGAATTAACTCAATGAAATTCAACAAATAATTCTCTTGTTTGCCACCATGTCTATATGTACTTAAATTTCATCATTTAGTAGCCACAAGATTACTTTAGTAAGTAGGAAAATACCAATCTGGGTAGCAGCAATGACAGATATAGTACAGTAAAACAATTCAGTATATTTCCATGCTTTATGGCTGAGGCAATAAATGAAAGAAAATGTTATTTTTGATTAAAGTTAGAGATTATTAAATTAAGTGATTTAAAGAAATCTCTCACATGTGAAAAAGTTAGTAATTGCCTCAGTTATCCCTAGCAATTCAATGAGAATAGTCAATATCTACTAGCCTAGTCAACATGTCAACAACCAGCTCTGCAATCTGCATGAATAATTTTTTCTAAATTATGTAAGAATTTTGAATTTCAGTAGGCTAGTGCTGTTCTGGAGTAAAACTTCTAAAGCCAATCTGAAATAGGACAGAATTTACCAAAAATCGCAGGTAAAAATATTCATTTATGGAAAATACCTAAAAACTGTAGGCAAAACATACATTACGTTATTATTTTAAGCAAGTAAAAAAATATCAGAGGACAACAAAAGTCCCTTGTTATTTAGTTGTTAACCACTAATGAGTAAGGAAACCAGGCAAAAAGTGTTGTAATTAAAAAAAATTTGACCACAACACAAGTATTTTCCTCATTTCCAGATTTCCAGGAGGGTTCTGTCCAATTTTCCAGAATAATGACTAAGTGTGGGCTGGACTGATTTTGTATTTTTAATTCAGTAAAATCACCATTTGTAGACTTCAGCCCTTCTCAATGCTGCATTCCACTGCTCAAGGATCATGGACAAATGAAATTCATCAGCATAATTATAACTTCAAAACATATAGTAATAGTAATGAACTAATGGCAATAGTGCAAGTCTATTACTGTCTGCAGGACTGCAGCCATGCCTAGTAAAGCCTTTAGTTAACAAGTTGATCTTTCAATTCTTCACTTTTTTTATTGCTACCAGTTTTGGCTTAGACTGGTTTCTGGCTACAGCCGCTACACCATGCAACTTTCTTCCCTAGTCACTAAAATTTAAAAACACTTGCTTTGCTCTCATTTCGTGCGTTTTCTTGGAAATTAATCGAAATAAAACAAATATTCCGACTCGCATACTATAAACTCTTCAACGACCATTATTTTAGAAGTCAAAGAATAATCATCATGCAACTCTCTTCTTGAATCTCTCCTCAACGGCTCAACCCATGCCCCGCAAACCTTGTGAGAACCTTCTTCGCTCGCGGAAGGCGCAGGACTGAAATCACTGAATGAACCGTGGACTCGTAGAGTAGTAAACGCAAAAAAAAAAAAATAAGAAAAAAAATTAACAACGTCCAACAGTTTGTGCGTCCAAAGGCTTGAATGCGATTTAGACTTTGACTTTCTGAAAAAAAATTGAAAATAATTTAAAATTTGTACCATTTTCTCGAAAACATTTTGCAATCAGTATGAACAATTTTTTAATGACAATCGAAAAAGTCTTTGCAACTGAAATGAGTTCCATTCTGGAACAATTCATTCCAATACATTTTTTTTTAATTGATGATGTACTATGATGACCCCGACAAATGAGCAATAAAGAAATAAAGAATATGATTCTAAAATGTATATGACAGTGTTACGGCTTTTAAAATCTTATTAGCGCCACTCAATGTATAATCTATTGCAATACCATAGTTAGTCAATCAAAATGCGTTGACTCATATCAAAATAATTGAGAAAGACGAACACAAAATATTTTTAAACCAAAACTATTGTGAAATAAAAAAATTTTGAACTATTTGTCAATTAATACATCTGCTATTAGCAGATCTCGCTACAAACTATATTAATGTTCAAGCTAGCGACATATAGCAAGCAGAGTTCAAACCGTAGCGGCATAACCTCTTCTTAAGCCACGAGTATGCAAGTATACTCATGGTTTATACAAGGTCCCAGAAGGATTACTAGTCTTTGAAAAAAGAAACAACACCAGGGGCCACGGCTATAAACTAAAAAAACAGCGTTGGAACACATCCATGCGACAACATTTCTTCTCGCTTCGAGTCACCGACATGTGGAACAGCCTCCCTTATAGCATCGTTGACGCTCCGAGCATGAACATCTTCAAGAACAGTCTAGACGAAGCTATGCAGGAGCATATGTTCAGTCGTAAAATGCCTAGCAAATTACGGACCAGGCAATAAGTCCAGCAGCTATCTCAATCAATCATCAGTTATAGAAAGATCGGGTTCAAAAGGCCGGATCCCTTGTGAATCAAGTCACGAAAAGTAATATAATCGGCAACAGGCCATGGGCCTATCTCTTCAGGGCCGACACTTCTATTCTATTCCAAGTTAACACTACATTCACACGCTATATATAACAGTGCTGCCAGCGCTAGGTTCAAAAACCTAGATCTAGTTTTTGTGCTTCTAACTAGGTGTTCATAGGTTTTTATTTCACAAACTAAATCAAATCTAATTTTTTTTCAGATTGCTTCACTGAAAGCAAAATCCAATATGACAAAGTACATACAAACCTTGTTATCATTAATTAAATAAAATAATATCACAACACAATAGCAAATAATAGCTCATAATAGCATTCATAACTGAATTCGGACAACAATTATTGTCAAGAAAGTGGAAATGCTACATGCTCCAATTTCTATATATATGTTCATACAAGTTTAAACAGAATACAAATTTACCGTCGGGTGCGTGTCGGTTAAAAGCTAAATGTTAAGAAAAATAAAGTAATAAATTAACTAAAATAATAATAAATAAACAAATAGAATAAATAAATAATCAAATAATATCAAAAATAATAATAAAAAACTGACTGTTCAATAAAATTGTAAATATGTTAAATTGTATGTTTGTGTTTATCTCTATATATACATACTTATTCCTATTTGCACAATAAGGATTTATTACTATGAATTACATGTTAAAAATGTAGTGTTTTAATTAATTCCAGGTTTATTCGGAGATACATTATACGTTTTTCAAAAAATAGTCGCTGGCAGCACTGTAAACCTCGAGGTTCCGCTCGTCTTAGCTCGGTCACTTTACCACTGCAGCCATCGCATGAACAACACTACGGTAAGCGCCACGTGCATCTCTGCTGTCTGCATCTCTTTCTCAACACCACGTGCATCTCTCAACACCACGTGCATCTCTCAACACCACGTGCATCTCTCAACGCCAACTGAAAGGCGTCCGGTATTCCAAGCTGAAAATGTATTGTTTGTTCAATAATGAATTATTATAGCAGAAACAATAAACACTGGGCATCTGAAAGTACTAAACTCGAGGTGAATGCCTCAATGAGAAGCAAGATACGCAGAGAAATGGCTTTCCTTCACAGGAATCACAAAAGGTAGTCACTCTTCTTGCTTTTCGTCTCGCTTCTGAACTGCCTTCATTGTTAGCGATAATTTCATAGCAGGACCTGCAGCGTTTTCTTGTGTTGAGTTTTGGTCCTTCAGCTTCAACTAAAGTAGGTATGGCTGGAACGCAGGCCTGCTATATCAGAACGCTTTGGTCCTGGAAGCATTTCTTTATTCACTTTTCCTGTAACGAGTGACATGACCAGACATTCTTTTAATTCGGTTACACCCATTGTCTTTTGTTGGCTGTAAAACTGATTAAACAGTGCCCATGCATTTACTACAGCAATTCCTGTTAACAACTCAATGGCCAATTTCCGATACCACTTCATGCTTCTTCTGAGTGCAGTATTGTAAGATGTCATCTGATCTGATTTATCAACCCGGCATTTAGCAGTATTGTAGTCCATAACGCTTTGTGGTTTGAGCATCTCGGTACCATTCCGAGTATTTTTCCCCGAGGGTTGAAGATTGCCTGAATGTTCAGGCACGGTTGACAACATTAGCACGTTCCTTTTATCTTTCCAGTTGCAAACTTTTACTCCTTTGCTGTTCAACAAGCCTGAAATTTCTCCTATCTTCAGCTTTGCCCTCGTAACGCTGAGAGGCAATGCTTTTCGATTTTTCCGCACGGCGCACAGTTCCACAGTAGTAAGTTTTTTCCTGTAAGAGTTTTTCGGCCAAGGGAATGGACGAATAGAAGTTATCTGCATAAATAGTTAATCCCCTGCCGAAGAAGGGGCCTTGAAAGCTGCAGGACACAGACTCCGAATGCATATATGTTGGTTCTTTGGCCATGTTGCCGCAATATATCTTAAAGTTCCAAGTGTACGAGTTGCGTGTGCCGAGCTTATATAGCTTTATTCCATATTTATGGGCTTTTCCAGGAATGTATTGTCTACAAGTACCAGAATTGGAGCAGAGAGGCGCGGGTTTGATCCCAGCTCTGTGCGCCAGATTCTGGTCAGAATCGGCAAGGAGGCCGGGCGGTTAAGCAAAGAAAATTTGAAGCAGTGAGTTGCGAGTTCAAGCCCGCTACGAGCTGTGGACGTTCTGCGATGTTGAGAATCGGCGGCAGGCCCACGGCCTAATAAACGCTGAAACTGCTAGGTACATCATTTCGATTCCTGGCCATGAACGTTCTGAGATGGAGCACAATTAAATTAAATGCGGATGGTTAAAATTGAACCCCACAATCATGCGATGGTAGTGATTTATTATATTTTTATGTCCCGCTTATTCCGAGACATAGACGGTTTCGTCTTATTTTTGTTCAGGCGTTGTCATAGAGTAGAACATGGAGTAACCTGCGTAGGAAGATGATCAACAGCACTTTACAAAGTCCTGTCATTTGTATATATGCTCAAAATGAAGTTCCCAATACAGAGCCATGGAAAACCCCGCTGCTCTTCTCAGCCATGCTTGAATTTTCCTCTTTCATAAAATCAGACCGCTTATACTCGGTAAATCAATATTGCTGCCATCGAAGCACCGACAATCTAATTGTAAAGGCCCAGAAATTCGCCTGGAGTTGTCGACGTTGAACCGACCCGAGGACTTACTTATACTGTAATGTCTATCAATTGATCCAACCCCAGGATGCTCATGATATTAAGTTCTTTTTATTGTTGAAAAATGTACGAACGACTCCATCCGGTCTTGCTGATATTCATCATGTCAAGTCAGTGCAATGCAGGTGATTATATGACCGTTTTCCTATGGTATATTTCCAACAGGATTCATCGACTGAATTTGAGCAGATAGGTTGGTAGTTATTTGTTGAAATTTTAGTTTATCGCGTCATAAACAGAAAACAACCAAAACATTAGTATTAGGAAGAGAAAATCTAGCAATAATAAAAATAATTGCACGAAGTTATTACCTAACAATATTAGATATCCAGGTTGCAGTTAATTTTTTGCATTAACGATGTCAATGAGACGCTTTCACAGCTTTAAAACCCATAGATTGTTTAAAAAATGTACGATGACAACAATTACCGATTACGCCATGTATAGTCGGAATGTTTCCATAAGAACTGGTCGCAAAACAGTCGGTAGCGCGCCATACAATCGCTAAAGTAAAATTGCACGCATTTTCTCAGCATCAACACGAAGATGTTCCAAATGCCCGAAGAAACAGGCCTATCGAGGCCTATTCTTCAACGCCGAAGATATTATACTACTGCAATAGTTTGAAGAAAACTACAATATGCCGACAAGTCTTCATTGTACCTAGATTGTAGTGTGAGAAACAGCAATGAAATATTTTTTTGTGAGAACTCGCATAGCGAATCAAATACCAAAAGAAAAACTTAATATTTTATATATTCTCAAGATCATCAAGACTTATTCCTGTAGATGAATTATATCATCCGATAGTTGTTTGTTGTTCGAATGCTAAATTACAATTTGTGAGCGAAGTTGTTATTAAAATTGCCTCCGGCATCAACTGTCGAGCCGGGGGTGAGAATCGAAAGGCACGTATAGCGAGCTCCCGAGATAAATTTGCGAGAATTTTCTAATTATTTAGTTTCTTTCAACTATTTCTTAATCAAGCGGTTCTTTGCTTATTTGTGTAGTGTTGGAATATTTTATGGAAACCTGATATGTGCAGAAACTCGTTTCACTAACAATTTTTATTAGTTTCGAATTTCGATTAGGCTAGGTACCTAGTACCTACCAGGCTACCTACCTTTTAAATGAAGTTACGATTACCCCCACTCAAAGACGTCAAAGTGACCGTAGCACAAAGCGGAGAGTCTTTTTGATTTTTGAGTCTTTTAATTAGACCAGTACCGTATTATGGATTCCAGCGTTGTCATACCTAAAAATTTTGGTTTAAATCTTGAGTTCATGAGGATTTTCAAAATTAACTGATTCGAAAAAAAATCTATGAATTTTTCTACCGGTATGCGA